TGTCATCCGCCCGGCCCAGCGCGCAGCCGCGGGGGGCTGCGCCCCTGGGACCCCGGCCCTCGGAGTCCCGGCGCCTGGCGGGGCGGCTGGGTGGGGAAACTGAGGCCCGCCGAGTGCAAGGCGCTAACTTCGATCTGGCAGTCAGGGAGGGAGATGTTTCCAACCCAGGACCCGGGCGTGGATCCCCTACTTTGCCCCCCACCCGTAGACCAAGTTCCTAGGACAGAAGTGGGAGAGACTTAGAAATCACTTCCCCTTCTTCCCTTTTTGACCGATGGGGAAACTGAGGCCTGGAGAGGCGCGGAGGCGCGGTGAGAGAAGAGATCCCCAACCCCAAGGTCAGCCCACTCCATTTTCACTGCTCCAGCCGGAAGGTACTCCAATAGGGAAACTGAGACCCAGGGAGGGAAGGGGTCTGCCTGGAGGCCGGGCGGAGACGGACTCGGAGCGCCGCGCCCGGCTGGGTTGGCTGGGTCTGCAGAGGGGGAGGCTCAGAGAGAAGCTTCGCGTCCACTCTGCAGCCTTCCGCTGATCCTGTTCCCCAGGCTGTGAGCCAGGAGCGCGCGCTAGAGGGCCATAGGCTCCCGCATTTCTGGGGAGCCCTATGGGACAACAACCCCACTGAGCCCTTGGGCCTCTCCGGCCCCAGCCAACTAGACCCCACCCAGGCCTCAAAGGTTGTCACGGTCACCCCAGGACCCAGCTGCTCAGACGGCCTCTGCGGATCCTCCTCCCCCTCCGGCCCCACCCCAGCAGGGCGGACTGCTGGGAAACAAAAGGAGGGGGCCCGGCGTGCGGGCAGGTGAGGAAGGAGGGGCAGGATCGATACATCAGAGAGATGAGATCACAGCCCAGCAGCCACGATGGGGGATGGGGGGCCCAGCAGAGCTGTGATTGGCCCATAACCGGTGGGAGTGGGGGGGCGGGCAGGCGGTGATGCTGCCCAAGTGTCACACTGTAGTCGCCATTGTGAGTCCGCGTCCACGGGTCTGGGGTGAATGAGTGCAGAGGGCGTGGCCTTCCGGTCTGTGTAGAGGGGTAAGGCTTGTCGGGGTGGGGAGCCCCTATCTGGACTTGTGTGTGCTGTGTGTCTCTATTGTGGTTTACATGCATGTGGACTGCGTGAGGGCCCGGTTGCGTGTATATTGTGTGCAGATGTGAACATGCAGAGGGGTTCTGCCCCCCGCCCCCCAGGTATGTGGTTAGGGGGTCCGTGTGCATTTCAGTGTGGGTGTGTAGGGTCCTAGTGTGTGTCCCTGTGTATGTAGGGGTTTTGGTGTGTGTCCAAGGGGTGTGTGTTCAACTTTGGCACCCCCAGGCTGGGGAAGGGGACAGAGTTAGGAGAGAGCTGACACCCACCCTAGTCCCCTCTGGGGTCGCCCTGTGGTGCTGTCCCTGGGGCCATCTCCTCCAGGAAAATGCAATGGCAGTTTGTTCCTCCCAAGTTCCTGAGTTAGGGTCTTTCTGGGTCGGAGTTTTTAAGGCCTAGGCTCCGGTGTCATCACACAGAGGGCGTGGTCACATGACATCATCCACATGTTTCCTTTCGGTCCCTAGGAGAGAACGGCAGGAACAGAGCCCAATGGCCAGAATTCAAATCCTGACATCAGACAAACACTAAGCTTATAGTGTGTCCTTAGACAAGTGTCCAATCTCTGAAGCACCATTTCCTTTCGGTAAACATCACCTAACTCCTGAGTTGCTACGAAGCTTAAATGATCTTTATCAACATCTGGCACATTGTAGAATATATCAAACTCCTATGTATCCTTCAGAACCCAGCTTCAACGTCCCCTCTTCCAAGAAGCCTACCTGGCTCCCCCCACTCCAAGCTCTGCCTCCACCTCTGGGCTTCCCCCAGCTCTGGATCCCTCCTCTGGTCCCATCCAGACGCCAAGGTGCTGCAGAGCTGGGGGTCTGGATGCTGAGAGCAGTGTTTCAGATCTTCTGTGATGTAAATAGACCCTGGGTTAAAATGAACGTGGGTGCGTGTGTGCTGCTGACAGCTCTTGATGCCACAGAGATTTATTGGCAAACAGCTAGAGGAGGGGGCGGGGAGGGGAGGGCATCAGGACTACTTCCAGCCTGATTTTGGGCTGGGATCAGGGCAGGAAGCTGTGCTTCCATGAGAAACAGTTTAGATCCCAATTTTGGCAGAAACCTGAGCTGTGTTGGGGACCCGGGTCCTAGCAGTGTGGACACCAAGTTCTAGGACACAGGAAGCTCCGTCTCCAGCCAGCCACTGGGGAGAGCCAGGGTGTCTCTTTCTCTGCCTGGCCTTGCTTGGCCTGGCATGACCAGGAGAGAAGAAACTGGGGCGCTGGAAGGAGGCTCACCCTGCACAGGGCCACGGGGTCACAGGCCCCAGGGACTGGAGGACGTAGGTGGCCTAGAAGGACCTCAGACAGCTCAGAAAAGTGGAAGGAAGGAGGTTCCCCCCGCCCCCCAGCTTTTCTAAGCCATCTCACCCCGGCCAAAGCCAGGCCCAGGCGGGGCCTGCCCACACCCCACTTCAGGGGGTAGGAAATGTGAGGCTTAGCCCAGGTACTGGCCTGCATGCCTGCATTCTGCCCCCCAAAGGCGGAAGGGTGCTGGTGTGTCCGGGGCCATGGTGGTGGCCCGTTTGGAGTGTCGGATGCCCATGGTGAATGCCGGGGCTCTGGCTTTGGTCACAGTGACCCGCTCAGGGCTGTGGGTGCCAGGGCCAGGAGTCTCCTCCAGGGGATGTGGGGCCCGGGGCCGCCCCAGCATGGTGAAGGCAGGCGGGCGCTGACGGTAGGCATTGGGGTCTGAGCTCTCATACTGGCCTGGGCCTGGTATCTCAGTGGGGTCCTGTGGGGGGCGGGCAGGGGGTGTGCGGCCCACCACTGTGTAGCTGGGGCTACTGGGCTTGATGAAGATCTGGGCACCCCAGAGAGATGGCAGAGTGTAGGCATTGGGAGCAGGGGCTGACGTGTCCAAGGGCGGTGGACGCAGGCGGGAGCCCAGGGTGAAAGCCGGGGGGGTCCGCTGGCGCACGGGGGCCACCTTCTCTGGGCTGTAGGCCCCAGGGCCGGGTGTCACCTCCAGACCTGCGAGAATGGGGCAGGAGATTTGGCAATGGACAGAGTGCTCACCTGATCAAAGACCTTGCACGGCTCCCCATTGCCCACATGCATCCCGGAGCTCACAGCACGTCTGAAGCAGCCCCGAGTTACTTCTCCCTCTTCCCTACCTTGCCACACAGTGTGTTCTCTTTCAAGCCTCCAGGCCTTTGCCCAAGTGCAGCCCTCTGCCAGGCAAGCCTTCTGTTTCCCATTCTTATCCTTCCAGAGCCCCAAAGTCCCTCCTCCCGGCTCCCTTTGCCACAGCCCTTCTAGGGGTCCCCTGGCCTGATTCTTCCCCTCTCCCCAGACATGGCCACACTGAAGTGGGATGGTCCCCACCTAAGTCTAACTCCACCATTCTGAGATCTCGTAAAAAATCAAGCACCTGTCAAGTCTATTTCAACTCCCAGCAGTTGGCCTAATATATGTTTGGGAGGATGGGTGATGAATGATTGGGTGAGTGTGAATGAGTAGACGAATGGATCCATGGGTATATAGATAGATGGATTGATAGATAGATCCTGGATGGATTGATCAGTGGATGGGAAAATGGATCAATAGATGGATTGGATATGAACAGGTGAATGGGTGGGTAGATTGATGAGTAGATAGCTGGGCAGATGGATGGATGAATCTGAGTGAATGAGTAGATGGGTGATAGGTGAAAAGATGAAAGGGTGGGAGGATAGGAGACTGGAGTCAGGTGATTAAATCTTGAGGTGACAGTGAGCTGTTTGCAGCCTGTGAAGGGGATTTCCACATTTGCCACAGTCTCCACTGCACCCTGCTGTCTCCTGATGCCGAGGATGAGCCCCAGATGCCCAGGTCACCATCACCTTGGCCCACTTCACTCATTCAAGTTCTCTTAGGGCCCCCAGCCCCTCTTCTGAAGTCTTCCATTTCATCATTGCAAAGACACTGAAGTTCTAAGAACTTGGGGATGGGAGGGGGAGAAGAAGACAGAGGCAGGGCAGTCACTGAGTTCCTGAAGGGACAGGGTCCTCTTGGAGTAGCACAGGCCAGATACTCACCTCGAGATTTGCCCCTGCCCTGCATGGAGTAGGCAGGAGCGCAGCTTCGGCCAAACCGGGTGACTTTTGGGTCCAGGAAGTAGACTGGCCCAGGGCTGGAGTCCTGTGGACATGCTAGAGAGAGGAGTCCAGGGTCCTGAGTACATCCCTGATGGCCCCCGCTGCTCCCACTCAGTGCCCCTGGTTACCCCTAAGGCCCTTCCACCCTCCACACACCCAGAGCCCCATCGTGGAGAGCAGAGACCGCAGCCTCCTGAGGTCTGATGGCCCTGACCGGGGACCTGGATCTCAGCCTGACTTTGTCTTGAGCACTCCTGTGCCTTCCTGATCAACGCTGTCCACCCCTCCACCTCTCCTCTGCCATGAGCTAGGGGAGCAGTTCTAGAGAAACCAGCCCATGAGTTGGTTAAAACTGTACCTAAAGTGAGAGTAACTAGGCTCTGACTAAGGTTCTGAGGAGGGTCCTTTTAATGCCGTGGCTTGTTGGCACGTGACCAGCTTAAGGGAAGGGCTATAGGTCACATTTAAATCCCAGCAACGCCTCTGTGAGCTGTGTCCTTGGGCCTGTCAAAGCCTCTTTTTCCTCAGTCGTAGGATGAGAAGCTTGACAAGTGACAGCATCCATGGGAGGAGTGGTCCAGAGCCTGGCACTTAGTAATTGGGACCAATGACTGTGATCGTCATTACTAATTATAAGCACAACCAGATATAAGTGTATAGTAGGTTTGACAAGTTTTAATTGGTTTGCATGTGTATGTGCACACAAATGGCACCATGCACACCCTGAAGCATGTTCTTGATAAATGAGCACATCCCAACCCATCTCATTTCCCACCTCCAGGCTTTTGCCTCTGCTACAAACTCTGTCTGGAGTCCCCTTCTCCTCCTGGGGCCTCCAGGGAACTCCTACTCATCCTATAAAGCCCAGATCCCATGCCTCCACCTCCAAGAAGTCCCTGAACATTCAGCAAAGTCTACACTAACCATCCCCACCCTGATTTCCCAGGTGTGTCCTAGAAATAGAGTCAGGGACACAAGTTTCTCAGGGTCATAGGCTTAAGTTTTTAACTTTCTGGGTGACACGGACTCCCTCACTTGCCTTCCGGGCCCCCTCGCACTTCTTGAGTTCTCTCTCTTTTGGTTTGGGATGTTTGCTGATTCTGAAAGTGTGTCTGCCAGCTGCTCCCTCCCACCAAGCCTCTGTCCATGTGAATCAAAGTCCCCACACGGGACCCTTCTGGGCCCTGACCCTGGCCTACTTGGGACCTCAGAGCAGCTCTAGAAAACGGGCTGGTGGGGTTTGTGGTCCCTGATATGAAGGGTACAGGCTTGCTTGATGAATGATAGAATGGACAGCTGGGAGCCACCCACATCCCTGCACTTGGTATTCCCGCACACATTCTGGCCGGGAGAAAAGTGGACGTCACAGAGGTCAGGTCACCCACTGACTAGGTGAGCCCCACTTCCTTCGCTCTCACCACCCCGGGCTTGACAAAGGATTTTCATTCTACTCTCACCACACGCTGTGAGGTAAGCAAGGCCCGGAGAGCCCCTGGTTGTTGATGGAGCAACCGAAGCGGGCGCTCACTCTCCGGGGCCTCTCTCCTGCGCACTGACCAGACACCCAGCATTGTATTGTAGCTACTCTTAAGGCATTTAACCCTCACTGAATAAATATCTCCAGGCGCCTAATGTTTGCTTAATCCTGACAACTGTGTGTGCAAGAAGTCTATTGTCATTGTTTACAGAGGAGGAACCTGAGGCACAGAGCAGTCAATGTGCTAAGTGCAGCAGGCAAATGCAGGTCCTAACACCACACGATCCCTTCCACTCTCCTCCTCCGTAAGGAAGCAGGACCAGAGAGGCACAGCAGCTTCCTGAAGCCCCACAGCAACCCGCCCGATTCCCGCCTCACTCATTAGGGCCTAGATCTATCCAGTGAGACAATGCTGGATGTTGGGGAGGGGCGGAGTTTGGGGTTTCAGGAGGCCTCTCAGAACCCCTTCTCCCACCCCCACCGCCCTGCCCGCCACTGGCCTTACCCTGGCTGGGCCTCCGGAGGAGGGAGTAGGCAGGACTGGCCACCCTGGTGCAGTCGTGGTTGATGTAGCCGACAGTGGATGGCAGGGCGTACAAGCCTGGCCCGGACCCTGTGACCAAAGCCCCCAGATCACGGCCTGGGCCTAGGTCCCCTGAAACATGGTGGGGAGCTCAGGGCCCAGCCCTGTGCCCCCACCCAGGTTCCCAGCCACCCCCCCTGGCAGGGGTGGAGGGAGCAGGGGCTCCTGCTGCGAACAAGCATTGTGAGTCAAACATGCATCACAGGGGGAAGGGCTGCGGAGCCAACAGCCTCCTCCCACCTAAGGGCACGGGGGATGGGATGACTGAGACCTAGACTCAGAAACGTGCTGTCACAGGTGGGGAAACTGAGGCCCAGACCCAGACAAACACTCACAGGGAAACTGCGAGCCAGATACAGAGAGACACTGTCACAGGTAGGGAAACAGAGGCCCAGACAGGGATATCCCGCTACAATGTTCGACAGCCTCTGCAAGAACGTCAGCGCTGCAAGAGCCAGGAAACCCAGCCATGGAGGCTGACTCCAGACAGGGAAACTGAGGCACGATCCAGGACCCAAACCGAGATCCCACAACGAGCGTCACAGTCGGAGCGTTCAGCTCACTGATTGATACACCACAAACGCCTCCCAGTGCTCTGCCTGGGTCCGTCCCCCCAGGGCCCTCGGCTGTTTGGTTCATGGCTGTGCCCTCAGCACCTAGAAGGGTACGTCGCCCATAAAATGCTCAGTTCTTGGTGGGCGGGGGCATATGCAGGGTCCTGGAAGCACTATGTTCACCCCCATCCTACTGGGCAGAAAACTGAGGGTTGGGGAAGGGCAGGGACTCCTAAGGGGCTCCCAGAAGGGGTCCCACCACCACGGCCCCCCTCCTCCACGGCCTGCAGGTACCGTTCTCCAAGGTGGCCATCCTGCAGGTCTTCCTCAGGCCGGTCTCTGGGATCTGGCACTCTGTGCAGCGCCGACCCAGGGGCGCCGGGGTCTGCCTTGGAGTGGGGTCGCAGCTGAGGGTCCCCATGGTGAGAAGGGGTGGGGTGCAGGGAGCCCAGGGCTGGGCAGCGCCGACACTTGATGCTGTCTCCTCAGCCGCGGTGGCTCTGGGTCGCAGGGTCCAGCACCGTCCCCAGTCCTCGAGGCTTCTGCCTGTGTTGGCAGAGCCCTGGCCTCACCACACCCTCCCAGGGACCGCACAGACGGCCCCTTGTCCTTCAGCAGGGAGTCTTGGGGCCCTGGCCCAAGCGGGCTGGTCGGCAGACGCTGGCCTGGAAGTGGGGCTGGGATCGAGTGTCGGCCAGATGGCTGGACCGTCCAGGAAAGAGTCCGGTGTCAGCAGAGCGGGTCCCCTGGGAGACGGTGGAGCTGGGCAGCTGGGGCCAGAGCAGGCCCCGGGGGAGCTGGAGCCACAAACACAACACCCACAGCCTTGTAGCGTGAGGGACTGGTGAGGTCATGGGCTGCATGGCCCCATTTCTACACCTGGGGAAACTGAGGCACTGCCCAAGGTCATACAGCAAGTCTGCCACTCTGGGCCAGGAAGCTTACCTCCTTCCTTCCTTCCTTCCCTCTTTCCTTCCTTTCCTTCCTCCTTTCTTCCTTCCTTCCTTCGTTTCCTTCCTTCCTTTCCTTCCTTCCTTCCTTCCTTCCTTCCTTCCTTCCTTCCTTCCTTCCTTCCTCCAATAGTTACTTAATGAGCAACGACTGTGTACTAGGTTTTGTTTGGGTTAGTAAGGACACAACAGGACAGACAGACAGGGAGCTGATGTTCTTGGAAGGAGAAAGAGAAAATAAACAATAGCCCAGCCGGCGTGGCTCAGTGGTTGACCAGGAGGTCACGGTTCAATTCCCCGTCAGGGAACACGGTTGCAGGCTCAGTCCCCAAGGTGGGGTGGGCAGGAAGCAGCCAATCAATGATTCTCTCTCATCATTGATGTTTCTAACTCTCTCTCCCTCTCTCTTCCTCTCTGAAATCAATAAAAATATGTTTTAAAATGATAAATTCATAGATGAGCGTAGTATATTACAAGGTGTTAAATGTGTTGTAAAACACAGAGCAGGGTCAGGAGTCCGAGATGGCAATGAGGGAGCCGCCGAGGGCTATTAGGGTAGGATGAGAGGTCACTGCATGGAGAAGGTAAGAGAAGAGGATACAGAATGGCTGTGCAAAGGCTCTGGGGCAGGAGCAAGGACGGCGAGGAGGCAGCATGGTCCTCCAGAACAGCCACTGCCTCCCAGGAGCCCACAAGGATTTACTCCAGCCCAATCTAGAGTTAATCTAGAGTAACATT